AGTCAAATAGAAATAAAAAAAAACTTTTTGCATTTTTAAAAAGTAAGGAGTAGAAGTAAAATGTAGGCTGAAAAATAATCACTCCATTAAAGTATAATCAATCAAAATTACTACTTAAGTAAAATAAAGTATCTGTACTTAGTTACTTCACACCTCTGTAATTAAGTGGTACAGATGGGGGGCAGAGCTCACCTTATGGAACAGGTTACCAGAAGAACAACATCTGCCTGCAAACAAAAACATGGCAGGTTAGCTCTGCTGGTAGACTTGAACATAAACACAGGTCAGCTGTACCTCGTTTAAACATGTGGCGCGCTGATAGCCCTTCTTCTGGAGAATGGACCAGGCTATCTCTGTGTCATTTACATTCATTTGACAACCGTAGGTCTCAAAATACACTGCAACAAGACAAAAACACACATCAGCAACGTCCCACAGTATTACATTCAGCTCTGCAGCGAGCTGTGGGTGATGCAGACCGACCTTTCCTTGAGTTCCCCATCTCCAAGTCTTCAGACAGATAATGCTCTTCAGCGGGTTCTTCACGCGGAGACACTGGAACTCTTTTGACAAAATCCTGAAAACTTGGACCGGACATTATTTGAGTCTTGAAACTGTCGGATACATGTGTCCCCTTCTGTCTCGAGCTGGTTGTGGCGTCAACATGATGTCTGGGGACTTGTCCTGGCAGGACACACCTGACATGGAACCATTGTTTGAGGAAGCTGAARGACGCCAGAGTTCTCATGCTGGCTAAGCTACTCGTAGTGGACTTAAAAACTCCAGACGTCAGGGTTAGCCAAAGACGGTTCAAGATCAAGTGAAGTACCTGCCTAAGTTACAAACACGGTTAACAATACAAAATAAAACAAATATATCGTAAAATACACGATGGGTTACCTCACGGGTTAAAACGTTTGATTATAATCTACAACCACTCATAAAAAAAAAAAGCTTAAGCCATTTCAGCCAAATCTCCTGACGCCCAACTCGGTGTGTCCTCTAACGAATCCGCTCACTTAAAGCTTATATTTACGATTATGTTATAATCCCAACGTAGAGGCGTACTATACGGATGAAAACAACACTTTTAGTTAACAAATATAAACAGTGAAAACAAGGTTTGTGATGTAAAATGAGAAAGGTTTGCCGATCCTCCCCGTGTGCCTCCTGTAAATTTGTGTACGTTTGTGTTTATGGTCCGACCTGAACATTCGACTGAAAAAGCAACGTTCCGCACAGGTAACGTTTGAATGGGATTTCAGC